GACGCGTTACTCTGCGCTGCGCAAAACTCTGCATTTGAACAGTCAATAGCAAATACTTTAACTAATAACAAAACATACTTACAGTCGCTGATTCAGAAGCGCCAGATTGTCATAGCAAAGTCGGAATTGACCCTCTTTTTTTTTTTTTTAGAAATAGCCTTTTTGCACATCCAGCCTTGTACTCTTCTAGGTTCACTGTCGTCCATAAAATGCGTTGCACAATTTCGAACATCTGGGTTGTGCTGTTCTGTTGTAAATAAATCTTAACCAATGATTCCTAATTGCATCTACTTCTGGAAGGCCAAATAAAGTGCTTTTGCTTTCGCACTGAAACACACACCGTCTCCCTGACATGGCTGTATCAACACTACTGCGGTTCCTGAAACCATGCCTTCTTTCTTGGCGTGCACATTTGGACGGCATTATGCTAATATTTCCACATAGTGACGTAGACATGTGGGGGCGTGTTAGAACGAGGCGTTTTAGGTAGGCGTGGTTGACTCTTAACTTTTATAAAGAATATCTCTTTGGATTTGAGACTTTAGTCTTTGCAACTTTACAGATCTTCTTTATGCACCAAGAGCTTGTAACACTCCAAAGAGAAAGGAAAACTTGAAATCGCATCATATGACCCCTTTAAAGTATTCTTGGCAACACTTTACAAGGTTCCATTAGTTTACTTTAGTTAATGTATTATCTTAACAATGAGCAATACATGCAATGCTTTGGAAATATTTTTTATTGTTATTCATTTTTATTGTTAGTAATTAACAAATAGAACCTTATTGTAAGGTGTTATCGTAATCTAAATTAAAATGTACATAAGTATATTGTCTTAGGGTATGTTTACATGACAGCGACGTACTAAAAATAGAGAAAAAAAATTCTTTGCACTTTTGAAAAGTTTTGTGTACAGGCGATAACTTTGTTGAAACAGTCCCCATTCTCATGCATCAGTTGAAATGACTAAAACACTTATGCATGCCAGGCCAGTTGGCGATATCACTTTGTAAAATAACACTATGCACCTGTGCACATACCTATAGATTGAACACGTAATACAAATGCTCATGATGCCATCTTTTTCAAAAGTTTGCAAGTTGTCATGTAAATGAACAGCCAAACCAAATAAAGTTTCCCATTTTTAGTTGAAAATGGTGTTGTGTGTAAACACTCCAAATGTTGTTTTAGACAAAAGTGTGCTTTGGAGTCAAAAAGGATGAGAAACACTGCTCTAAAACCCTATTGTCCTTATTTTGACACTGTTTGTGTGCAGAATGTTGGAGGTGGCCAAGGCCATGGGGCTGACCCTGTCCCGTCAGTCAGCCCACAGTAGAGAACAGGCCGGGACACAGGAGGAGCACAGGATGGCCTCTCTGGTGCTTCCACTGGTGCATTACGAACAACGTATGGATCACAGGAAACGCAAGAGGATGAACTAAGCTGTGGACAGTAATACGTTTCTAAGCTGGGAACAAACTGTAACTGCACGTGTTAAAATTACAGTGTTCTTGTAAGATTGAATTGAAAATAAATGGGATTATTCAGTTAACGGAAATTGGAATTGCCTGTGTTCTAATTAGTTTTACAGCAACCTGATGCAAATAGATTGCATTCAATTTGCATATACCTGAGATGACTGTAAGTGGTTGGAATTACACATATGTTGATTCATGTTATTGTATAGCAAGCAAGGACAAGGATTATGAAAAATGTCTTTGGTTTTAAGAATCAAATCCATCTCTATGCATCTCTAACTACAGACAAAAATAGCAGAAATCAGAAGAAACCAATTTGCTATAATAGCCATTATGTTTATACTGCACAATAAGTATAAAAACAATATTGTAAAAATAGGCACATTTATTATACATATTGCACTTTACAAATCAAACCAGCAGTTGGTATGAGAACATTACAAAAATAATAACAGCCAGCTGTAAATCTAACAAGATGGCTACTTTTTGATAAATAAGGTCTAGTGTTCTGGGACTAAATCACATTACAAGACCCATTATTTTAGTGATGGGCTATGTTCGTAATGGCATACTTCCATACTATTCCTGCAGTATATACTATGCATAGTGTGCAAATGTTCACGATACCGAATCATCCAACATTTACAAGCAATGACTTTTAAAGTTCCAGTATAATGAATGAACAGAAAATACAGCATCTTATTAGTCTTATTTGATCAGACTGACTTTTTTACACAAAAACTCATTTTTAAACCGCAAAATAACCTTGAAAATTCAAGTCAACAACTGGTGGCCACTCACATACAATGAGGTCATACACAACAGTGTTTGTGGATTCAGTATTATACCTATAGTTTTATCATCTTTAAAGAATAACAGACAATTTAAAGTATATATACTTTGCAAAGTTTAGTAAATAGTAAGCTAGTATTCCATTCTGAACATAGCCAAGGTCTCTTTTAACCACTTTCAACCACTTTTAAGCCCTGTGACTACTTTAGGATAACTACCTGAAAACTGATTGAAGTTACAATTTATCATTAGTCTCTTGTTATTTTCTTACTACTAAGGTTTTTTTGACATTATAACAGGGCTCAAAAGCTCGAGTTTAGCTGTGAACTTATGATAATCTAGATATGATAACTCTTGCTCCCAGTCTCCAAAATAGTAAAACCGCTATCATAGTGGCCACTGCATATCTGAATGTTTCCATTTCATGATGCCAGTGAAACTTTTTACTGCTTTACAGTTCAAATAAATGATTCATTGATAGGCCTATTGAATCAGTGCCTATGAAATCACATTTAAAGAGACAGTTCACAAAATATGTAAAAATCTGTTATCATTTACCCACTCTCATGTTGCTCTACACCTGTATGTATTTTTTTCTCCGTACAATGGAAATCAATGGGAACCAAAACTATTTAATTACCAGTATTCTTCTAAGTATCTTCATACTGGTTTGAAATTACATGGGGTTATGAGGAAAGAGTAAATGATGACAACATTTTCATATTTAGGTTAGACTATCCCTTTAGGATCTTTGAATTTTCTTTTCTAAAATTTTCTTGCAAAATCTAAAAAACTTTCCATTAGGCAGTTTTCAGTTTCACCCTTCAATAATGTGCACATGTACATAAAACAGGAGTGTTTTTATAGGAAAGTTGAATATTGCCGCTCGATGTAATGCAACTCATGATTGGCTGCATCTCGGTACCCAGTACGTGCTGTTTTGTTCTTGTCCATTACAGAATCTCAGCAGAGCCAGCAGGACTACAATTCCCAAGGTGCACTGGATTTGTTTATCTTCTATTTTCAGCACTGGTTCTGGTCTTTTGGGAAGAGAGAGAGAGAGTAAGCCATGTGACATGTCTCTCACTTCAACTTCCCTTGTGTCCCTTTCTCCCTCCTGACTGTGTGAATGTCTAAAATGATAATAACAGGCTGTAGGACCACTGGACAATTAAATCCATGTATCTTACTGATTCACGTTAAATTGATTTTGTTAAATAGAAGCTTGATTTGAAGTGATTTGCTTCAGCAGAAATCTGTCCTGTACTGAATGTGCTTTCAGTTGGATTGGTAGCCGGCCAGACTTCACGTACATGATAAAATCCAAACTCCAATAAGTTGCTCGTAAACACTGATCAATTTAGAGTGAGTTGACTGATTCATTTCAGATCCAAGTATATCAAAAAGGTGGTCTTAATCCTTTAAAGTTTGATTATCGGACTACTAAACCAGTGGTTCCCAACCCTGGTCCTGGAGGCACCCCAACACTGCACGTTTTGCATGTCTCCTTAATCAAACACACCTGATTCAGGTCATCAGCTCATTAGTAGAGAATTCAAGACCTAAAATTGGTGTCAGAGAAAGGAGACATGCAAAATGTGCAGTGCTGGGGTGCCTCCAGGACCAGGGTTGGGAACCACTGTACTAAACAACCTACCTTTGGTTAATCATATTAAAAATGTGCTTTTTGATCATTTTAACGTCATGTGCTTGAGGCTTAATCTGATTGTTCATCATCCATCCAACATTGAAGCAGTGCCTTCACCTCCTCTTAGTCCTCCTTCACCCAGGGTTCACATTGAGGGAACATTGTAGGAATATCCATCTGATGTTGTGGAGCTATAAAGCCAGGAAATATGTACCTCATAAAATTGAGCAAAATATGCTGCCGTTGTTATGGCAACCACTTTCTACAGAGGCAGTGATTCTGTTTGTCATGGTGATGGCAAGGTGAGCAGGAAGTGTGGAGGGGGTGACGCTAGAAGGGTTACTATTGTGAGGACGAGGAGGTGGATTATCCAAGGTCCAAAGCGCTTGTGATCTAGGACAGAAAGAGTAATACAGATCAAATATAATGTGCCATATATTATTAGCGATGCACAGAACCAAAAATGTTAAGCAGAAAATGAATTTTCCATTTTGCCTGAAACGGTTTTGGAAGGGCGAAATGTGAACCAATCATCTCTTCCTCTTTACTACTAGTTACAGCACAAAATAAACAGGAATGAACATCAGAAGAGAAAGGCATCAATAAAAAAGCTTGTAAACAATGTCATGTAAGGTTACTTTCATCTCAGGAAAGCCTTTCAATGTCCATAGCTTGGAAGGCAGCTAAAAAAAAAAAACTTGAGAAGCTAAATAAATGCACTTTATTACTCAAACTTGTTTTCATTAGTTAATGTATGTTTTAATAAATCTCTCATGACAACTTTCTTACATTCACCGTTCAAATGTTTATATTTCAATTATGGATTGGAGTAGAAAAAAATTGTATCAACTTATTTTAGTGTCAGTTATTAAATAAATTTGATTAATTGATTATTAAATAAACATTATTGTCAATTTTGGCTTTCGGCATAATGACTTTAATTTTGGTAAAAAAAAAAAAAGCATTTTGGTGCATCACTATATATTACGATATATATATTGTAGATATATTAAACTGGCCTATTCTTCTAAACTACATATAGAGTTTTGTGCCTATAACGTGAGTGTATCTAACCTGGGTGTGAGCAGAGAATTGTTAAGTACAACACACTCCAGGTTCTGTTTGTTTGTCCGTATGGGGGTTTTAGTACTCGCAGAGTGGCTCTGGTAAACCAGGTTCTCCTGAACCACACCTCGGACCCGCTCCTTTACAGAAATCCCATAACCCCGCAACACCTGAACACGATTCCTCAATACCTGCAGAACACAAAGCAAATGTCAGCATCTGATAGCAGGGACTGTAGTTTAAACAGTACATGAGCTGTGTCCGAAACCTAAGGCTTTGCTGCCCTGTCAGTCAATAACTACACAGCCAGTACTTTTGTATAAAGGTAGGCTTTAGTGATAACTACATTAATATTTAATGATTACAAAGCTTATTTCCCATTAAGGCAAAAAGTCACATCTATAAATTCCCCCAACTTCTCCATCAGTTAGGGGCACATCTATGATGCCTTTAAAGATAATTATACAGTTTTATAAAATATTTTAAAATGTTTACATTTTTTCAGTTTTGTAATATATGCTTACAATAGATAGAAATTCTTGACACAGCAATAATTTCTAATGGCTAAATAATTTTTAATAATAATAATAATAATAATATATTCTAAGCATATATTTTTATTGTAATAATAATAATAATATATTCAATTAATGTTATCCTTACATTGGACAGAAATTTGTAACGCAACAAGAATTTCTAATGGATAAATTATTTTTAATAATATTAATAATAATAATATATTTTAAGCATATATTTTTATTGTAGTAGTAGTAATATTAATAATAATAGTAATATATTCTATTAATGTTATTCTTACATTGGACAGAAATTCTTGACACAGCAAGAATTTCTAATGGCTAAAGTATTTTTAATAATAATATATTCTAAGCATATATTTCTTATTGTAATAATAATTATAATAATAATATTAATAATACTTATTATATACACATGAATTACTAATATAATACATGTAGTATTATTATTAATAATGAACAATGCTAACAATATTTTTTATTGTAGTCTATTATTAAGAAGAAGGAAGGAAGGATGTATTGATATAAATTTATTGTAGTCTATTATTATTTTATTAACATTATTATTGTCAAAAATTTGAAATAAAACTATTAAAATTCAGTTCTGCAAATATTGTTTCAGATCATTAAAAATAGTATCAATATTGGCCTTAAAAACAGTATCTGTCAATCTCTCATATTATCAGAAAAGATGTGACACAAACACATCTGTATTTCGGACACAGCCACTGTATCCTTTTACATTTTCAACGATGTGACAGTAAAATTGAAGCATACTCACTTTAACATCTGCATTGTCCATCACTCGTATTCCAACAGCATTATTTCCAACCACATCGTTTTCCACAATCAGCCCATCGCCCCGGAAGCAGACACCATGACAGTTATTGCCATAAACCCCATTGCCACGCAGCTCTACTCGACACTCTCTGTCCACGGCCACTCCTGTCCAGCCATTACAGAGGACACAGTTTCCAACTAAACGCGTCAGCTGAGCGCTCTGAATGACAGACACGCCGTCTCCTCTGTTACTGTTCACCATGTTGGCCACCACGTTCAGAGGCTCACTGCTCTTCACAAACACTCCAACAGCTGGAGAGACAGAGGAGAAAAAGGAGACAGAAGTGGCTGAGATGTCAATCTAATATGATCAGGTGAAGTTGACTAGGGGTTTTACAACTTTCTGATGCCAAGGGCCACCAAATCTCTGCTGCGTGATTGTTTGTCACAAAAATATAAACTGTTTTAGTGCCCATCTCTAAGTTTGATATATATTATATTCAACTTTAACTGCATACATACAATACACTTACATAAAGCAATATATAGACCAGGGTAGCGTCATATTTAATACATATTTAATACTTTTCTACAGTACTTACCTTTGTAAAGTCTGTAGTCTGTACCTCACAGAAATTATATTTAACAGCAACTCACCTTCGTTGTGACTAATGCAGTTGTTTTCCACTAGGGCTACTGTGATTGGCCGTCGAGAGGAAAAGCGTTCATCTTCGCTATCGATATCACTTTCCCATGCCATCAGTTCTCCTTCCTCATTGAAGTTCTCAGGACCTCCTCTGTCCCTCTCTCCAACCCCGACTCCTCTCTCTCTTTCCTGTAAAGAGCGATAGCCCTCTCGGCTCACAGCAGACTCCGTGTCCTTCCGGCAAAACACAGCCAGCCCATACAAGCGGTTATGGGTAATATGGTTTCCAATGAGCTGAGGTAGACTAGATGACATTACCCACACCCCACAGCCTCTGTTCCCTACAAAACACAATTATACAATGTCATGACCAAAAAATGAACTTTGACCCTTTTATTCTTTTCTGAATTGAACATGTTAGGCCATTGTAATTTTGACTTCATTCTTAAAATATTATAGTCAACAATTTATTTTTTTACTTTTTATTACGTGTCAAATGTCTATTATTAAAACATTCTCAAAAAGTCTCTTTTTTTTCAGTTTTATTCTTGTAATTATTTTACTGTGGTACAAAATCAGACCTAAAAAGTATCTATTTTTTTTTACCCAATCTGCAACCAAAGCAGCTTCATAGATCTGCAATCATTCCAAAGCAGCTTTAAAAAAAACTGTATCACAAAGGTGGTCGTGAAATGTAAAACTGGCAAAGAGAAACTCAGCAGAACAATATCAACAAATTAATTTAAATAATTCATGTAATGTAATTATGTAAATAACATAATAAGTGTTATGACCAAAAAACATTTACTCTAATTATTTTACTTCAAAGGATTAGTTTACTTCCAGAATAAAAAATGTCCTGATAATTTACTCACCCCCATGTCTTTCTTTCTTCAATCGAAAAAGAAATTACGATTTTTGAGGAAAACATTCCAGGATTTTTCTCCATATAGTGGACTTCAATGGTGGCCAACAGGTTAAAGGTCCAAATTGCAGTTTCAATGCAGCTTCAAAGGGCTCTACACGATCCCAGCGGAGGAATAAGGGTCTTATCTAGCGAAACAATTGGTCATTTTCCAATAAAAATAAAAATGTATATACTTAACCACAAATGCTCGTCTTGCACTAGCGCTGTGATGCGCATGCGCGACTTCATGCATTACATAATCACGTTGGAAAGGTCACGCGCGGTTAGTTCTTCATCTGTGTACTTCGGTTCAAAAAGGCAGAGCAGGGTGAAAAACATTTTCTCCTCCAACTTCACAATGGTCCGATATCGTTGTTTTACCTTTTTTTTGTAAAGGGTGTTTGATTTTCTTTGCACGTTCTCTTTGTAAACACTGGGTCAGTACTTCCGCCTATGTCACGCGTGACCTTTCTAACGTGATTACATAATGCGTGAAGTCGAGCTAGAGCAAGACGAGCATTTGTGGTGGAAAAAAATATAAATTTAAAAAAAAATTATTTTTTTTTAGAAAATGATCGTTTCATTAGATAAGCCCCTTATTCCTTGGCTGGGATTGTGTAGAGTACATTGAAGCTCCATTGAAACTGCAATTTGGACCTTCAACCTGTTGCCTCCCACTATGTGGAGAAAAATCCTAGAATGTTTTCCTTGAAAACCTTAATTTCTTTTCGACTGAAGAAAGAAAGACATGAACATATTGGATGATGGGGGTGAGTAAATTATCAGGAAATTTATTATCTGGCAGTGAACTATAATCATTTAACATCGCAATGTAATGCCTCTGTAATTTTGACTTCATTCTCAATGTTACCAGTTTTTTTTTTTAGAATTTTTGTGTGGTACTAAATTGATCTAAACAGAATGCTTATTCTAACTTTTGTGTCCCAATCAACATTTTTAAAATCAGTTGGCTTTTGTGTTAGGGCACACAGTGTTTGTGTTGGTTTTTGTTGTAGCCTCACCCACAGGTCCAATATGCTAAATAATGTGTGCCAAATATGCTCTGACTAGATGACATTTTGTCACACAGCATTTTATCTTTCAGTGTGTATGGTAAAATTACTTCTCACTGTTGCACTGCACCTGATCACGCACTTAAATCATTTCTAATGCATTTCAGCTACAGAAAGAACAAAGGCTGGATAACATCTGCCAAATGCCTTAAACGTATAAATATGAAATATGCACACCGTATATGTGGTTGCCCTCAATGAGGCCCCTCCCCCTCTCTCCCACCACCACTCCGTCCGAGTAGCCATAACAGATGAAGTTATTGCGGAGGACTGGATCACCTCCTCGACGGATATCAGCACCACCCCACTGGTTCTGCCTTATAACATTCTCTATCAGATGCAAGATATGTAAAGCAGCAATTCAAATTGATTTAGCATAATTTAATTGAGCAGTTTCAAGAGCATGAGGAAACACTTGAAAAGGGCAAGGTCTACTATGCTTGAAGCACCTATATACAATTAAACGGCAAATAGAAAATGGTATACTGCAGTCAACGGACCAGTGATCAGTCCTCTTCCATTCTCGTTGACAGCAATGCCTGCTGCAAGGCCCTGGAAAATGTGATTTCCACTGTCATAAAGAGAGAAAGAAACAGAAATCAGATCTTCATTCTTTTTAGTTTCATGATACTAAACAAATATATCAAAATTTTTTCTTGTTATCCACCTTTATTTGAATAAAACACAATAACCCCTGCACTGTATACCTGACAACAGGATTGCCATTAAAAAGAATATACACGCCAGCTTCCTTGTTGCCGTAGATCTGGTTGCTGCGGATAGAACCTCTCCCGTTGCCCAGGACAACAATCCCGGAACGCAAGCCACTGTGGATTCTATTACACTATAGCCAGGAAAAAAGAAAGGGAAAGAAAAAACAATGTACCACAGAAAATTATCTGGCATGGTGGAAATTCCACTATATTTTCTAAACTTTCCTCTGCACTAGTTCTTCTGATTACACTAATTCATTTAAAAGCAAACCTGTATAAGAGAAACATATGCATTTTTTATGCAATTTGGCCATTTTTTTTTCCATGACTGAAAAAACTATTTGCCATTGGGATAAGAAAAACAAACACTTTTATCTAATTATACTGTATATATATTCCTCCTCCTTTTTTTTAGCATACTAAAAGAAATGTGTACCAGTATGATAGGATTAGCCCCTTTGCGGATGTCTAGTCCCGCTTCCCCATTGGAATGAATGTTGTTCTCAGCAATGAGACCTTGAGCAGAGAGTCGCAGAAACACACCAGACGCCTTGCACCCACACACTTCATTACGCAACATCACCATCTAAACAGAAAAAAAGACACACAGTAACAGTATAAAAAAAGAGACACTGGTGAAAGAGAACCAGGACATGAAAAGAACATAAAAGAGAGAGTAAGATCAGAAACATATTCACAGAAAATATTTCATGACATTGCACTATTATTAAATCTGTTGTGTGTGATTTTTGTGTTACAAGCAGCATGAAATAAAATGAACAAATTTTTTTTTTGTACATCTTATGAAGAAAATATGGCTGGTGCTTAAATATTTTCATTTTTTGACTGATGATGGATTAATGTCAGTATTAAAATTCTATACTATTTTGTTCAAATTAAAGCACTAAAATGACAAATTCATCATTTTAAATGTTACAACTGAATTTGTCCAGTACCAAAATGGCTATTCATTTTGAGATATGCAAATATTTTATAGTAACTTCCAGTAAACAGAGTACTAGATGATGGAAAAGGCAACATGATTATAAAAATGGGGGGGGGGGGCAATGTATTTTATAAAAAAATTCTAATTCGGATTATTAGTAATAGTGAATAGTTTTTCCCAAAGCACCAAAAGCTTCCGTACTTATACTTTTCAGGAAAACCAGCCAACTAAAAGCTTACTTAAAGTTGTCTCTACACATTAAACTTGGAAAAGGTATTTTCACAGCAAAATTTCACACATCAGCTTTAAGGGCCATTAAGACGCAGGTTTTACACACTTTGGCATTCTGGATGCAGCGCACTGCATAGTTGAGCCCTCTGAACACATTGGCCTCCAGTCGAGCTTGACTGTGATTGCACAGGTGCACACCACCTTTTCCATCGCGCAGCAGACAGCGCCGCAGCAGGCAGCCTTGAACCAATGCAGCCAAGTCCCGCGCCTCTGCATCCCTCTGCAGTTCTGCAGACAGACTCAACAGTGCAGGAAATGCAGAAGAATCAGGCGTATTTGCTTTGGAGAGATGCGCTAGTCCGTGCTGATCATATGAAAGTTTTAAGCCTGTGCCTTTCTCGCCTTCTTGCTCATCATCCTCACTTGACTCACTCGATGTTTCCATGCCATCCTCCTCAATCACTGTACCATCCTGACTTGGAAGAAGACTACCTCCACCTTTCTGTTTTGCCCAGTTTGCTTCCCAATCTACTTCCTGTTTATTCCAGTCCTCCATTGTGTTAACTCCTTCCAAGGGTGTGTTTACCTGACTACCAGCACCCACACTGTCTTTCCCGCCCTGATTAGATATTTCAGTTGACCCATTACTAGTCATCATGGTGAAGGTCTTGGCCAAGGCGACCAGGTGTTTGAAGGCCCAGTTGTGTTCAGAGACCGGAGCACCTTCCACAGTGACAGAGGCAGAATCTCCCCCTGAGAACTCACAACTGTCCATTAAACTGATGGCCACCCCCAGAAAATGGGCTGAGCTGCCCTGGGCAAATGAGCAGAAACGAGCCTGACACGTCCCTGGACCCCAGATGTGCAGCTGACAGCCCTCAAAGTTACAGTTGTCCAACTGGACATGACCAGAAGACGTCTAAGAAACAAACAAGAGAAAATATGTAATTTTAACACTATAGGAAAACTAACAGTGTCTCAATAAGAATCAGATTATCTTAATACAATTTAACACTGTTTCAATATCAATTTACTGTTTTCTGTATGAAGTCTTAAAGGGGTTATGACATGAGAAATTAAATTAGCCTTGATCTTTTGGCATATAAGAGGTTTTTTTGTCCCAAAAACCTTTGTCCCATTTCATCAACATGCAAGTTTCATAGCTTAAAACGTCCTCCTCATTGTAAACAAAGCATTTATTTAATCAAGCTCCAAAATTGCTAGTTTTGGATCTGAGGTGCAAGATGACGTCACCCGGGCGGGCACAAACATTTGCATAAACACTGCCTCAAGAGCAAGGCATCGACGAATAGTCATCTTCTCACCATAGGCCCCGCCCACTAGCGTTTAGTCGATTAACGGCTTGACACTTGATCACGCTGAATGCGAGTGTCGCATCGTGTCAAAAGCAAATAGAAATTACAATCACTGCTGCCATCTTGTCTACATATTGATTAACTGGTTCAGGTGTGTTTAATTAGGGTTGGTGCAAAACTCTGCAGGACAGTGGCCCTCCAGGAGCAGGATTGGACACCACTGTTTTAAAGGGGTCATGACATGAGAAATCAAATTTGCGTTGATCTTTTGGCATATAAGAGGTTTTTGTACCATTAAAACATCCTGCAAGTTTTATAGCTTAAAACGTCCTCCTCATTATAAACAAAGCATTTATTTAATCAAGCTCCAAAAACGTCTCGTTTTTGGATCTGAGGTGCAAGATGATGTCACCCGGACACAAACATTTGCACAACACTGATTCCAGAGCAAGACATTGACAAATAGTCATCTTCTCACCATAGGCCCCCGCCCACTGGCGTTCAGTCACTTAACAACTTGATCTTGCTGAATATGAGTGTCGCGTCAAAAGCAAATAGAAATTACAATCACTGCCGCTATCTTGTCTACAGTAGATACAGTATAGAGATGCGCATTTGTTTTTTGACACAGTCCACGCGCTTGAGTCTGTCAATAGGACAAATGAAGTTAAAGAACGTTCGCTTTGACGCGTTTGGTTTAAACAGCTCGTTCGAGTCTTTGAACAGTTATCAGAAGGATCCCAGCATAGGGAACAAGGATAGTTTATTTTTAATAACATCCTGGATCGTGTCAGAGGATTGTTCGGAGTACTTTGTTTTGTAGACGAGGCACAGTGTCATGGAGAAGCTCACAAAGAAACATTTGTTGAAAGATGAAGTGGTTCTAGATCTGACTGCAGCTGCATCACAAACCGTTTC